ATTTTAAAGATATCAGTGTTTACTTTTTGAAGAGAAGTTCACAATACTTTTTATTTGTTTCTCTAGTATTTTGACCAGGCTTGCACTATTAAAAAATTGTGGACTGCAAGAATAAATGTCACAAATGCACTAATATATTCCAAAGTTGACATATCTTAATCAAGAACAAAGATTGTGCATCATTTTTTGGTCATAGTTAAGCAAGTGTTGACAATTTACTCTTTTCTCCTTAAATTCTGTTTAAGAAAGGATTAGACTTAGTTTTTGATACTTTGTCACATGCTCCCTTAAACCCTGGTTATTTGATGTCATTTTAGATATTCCAAAATTCAATATTTTTAAAAGATTTATTAAAACTTGACAATAACAGAGGAGTATTGAAAAAGATGACTGTTTTTTCAATTTTGTGTTCCCTCAATGACTAACATCAAAATATAAAGTCAGATTTTTTTTTCAACCTCCCCCTCTCACTTTCTTCAAACAGAGAAGGAAATGTCTGCCCACTGTGTACCCTACCCACTGATTCTCTTCACTTACTCAGGGGCTTCAAAAGAATTTATTCACAATACTATAGTGTTGCAAACCTGAATTTGATTTTAATCTAATCTAGATGAAACCACTGAATAGGATTTTCAGTGTACATGACATTTCAGACCTTGAAAATAGATTTTCTAGGTCCGACGACTCAACTTCCTGTTACCTTTTCCTGTTATTATTCTTTCTTTCTTTTTTAAATTTATACAATTTACATCTTTGGTCTGATGAGACTTACTGGTCGAAATAAATCATGATCTATTAGCATATTTTTGTGATGTGTTAAACTTTTCCTTGATGTATATCATATTGTTCTGTAGTCTATACATTGAGCTCTCTACAGATCTATCTTTTTAATATTTTATATTAAAAAGAACCACTTGGATTATCCTTTCCAACATATATATATATATATATATATATATATATATATATATATATAAAAAATAATATCATATCTGTATATTGGTTCTTTTTAACATATACATACATATATATATATATAATGTAAATTATTTCCAGATAGTGTATCTGTAAAGGAACAAAGAACAAAATGAATAAAAAGACAAGAGAAAAAATTATTCTTAGCCAACACATTTTGTCCTCTGAGGGACTTTATTAAGACAACTGTAAAAAATTTATTTTGTTGCATGTGTTTATATACAAGAGCAAAGATGTCATTGCTCAAAGTTTTTAAATTTTAGAACATTCATGAATATTTATCAGATGGTTGAAAGGTCAGTCAAAGCATGTTGAGGACAGTATCATAATTTGAAGTCTGGTAAGATGAAAGTGAGTAATATTCAAGAATTTTTTTTAAATGAATATTGTTTAAATTGTGATCAGATTGTTATGGGTTGAGATGGATGGATGTGATAATGGATTTAACCATTTTCTTGATTTTTTTAAAACATTTTTATGGTCGTGTATGTTGGCTTAGGAAAATAGTAATTCTTTCAGGAAAGGTGAGATTGGAAAGAAATCAGGGTATCATTTTTATATATATATATATATCTCAGTGGTAATTCTTGGGGTTGGGCTTAGCCCAAGTGAGTCAACATTCAAGTATATCTATTTTAAAGCAACAAAAATTTTTCGTAGTGCATCATTTTCATTCTTTACTTCAGCTGGATACAAAATTATTTTAACTCTGTGCCTCAAAATATTGACCAAAATAAATTTTGTTAATATTGTTCGTAATAAAGAAGTAAGAAAGAATGGAAAAAAAAAAAAAAAAGAAAGTAAGTAAAAAAAAAAAAGAATGAAATAAAATTACCATAGCCAGTCAGGATGCATAAGTCTTAGCCCTATCTGAGCTAGAAACATACTGAATAGACAATGTATTTCTTGCTTTAATTTTATAAATAATCTTTTAAAAATCTCTAATTACTTGTATGCCCTGTTTTTCAAAGAACACATTTTTACTTCAACTTATTCTTTTCAAATGTTAATTTTAAATAATTTATTCTGTACAGTATAAGGTTTTTTAGCAGAATGTATCTTTTGAGAAAGGGCAAATGAAATTTAGCCCAACCTAAAATTCGGTTGTCGACTGGAGGGTTGGGGTGAAGAATGTGACTGGGGTTGGTGTTGAGAAAATATGATCAGCAGTACATAAACACACAGAGCGATACGTAAACACATTAATGCATAGTTTAAGCGCCCTATGAGGCTGGCATCCCGCTCTTACCCCTTCACTGTCGAAACTCCTAAATGTAGCCATCTCTTCTACTCCAATAGCTTCATGTCTCGCACCTCTCGCCTGTGGAACTCCCTTCCCTATTCCATTTTCCCTGAGAGCTATAATCTCCAGCTATTCAAATGTAATGTCAATCGACATCTCCAGTTGCCTTGATCTATCCACTACCCTTCTCCTCATCCTTTCTTCTATCACTCCTATCTGATCTTGCTCCAAATTTTCTGTAGCCCCTTGCATCCTAGTGGCTTCCCGCCTTGCTTGGGGTGAAACGCTTAAAAAAAAAAAAAAAAAAAAAATATATATATACACTATATACACACTCGAGATCACACATTATTTTAAAAAAACATATATCTGGATACACACATTATTTAAAAAAAGATAAATATATCTGGCTTTGTCTTGACTTTTTTCTTATATATCTGGAAATTTGTTTTAAAATGTTTTTTTATAGAATTATTACAATTTATATTAAAATATCAAAATGTGTTGTTTTTTTGCTTTGTTTTTTTTTTTTTTTTTAATTTCATTGAGATTTTTAAAACTGATATATTTTAGTTAGAGTAAAGGAATCATTTTAGCATCTAATTTATACCAATAGTATATTTTGTTAATGATTGTAATGAGCCCGACAAACACTGATGACATAGTCCCTACTAAGATATAGAAAGGGCAAGAAAATTCATTTTTTTCCTTTTTCGTTTTTTTTACAGCATGAAAGGGATTAAATACAAAGGAAAATTAAATATTCTTTGAATAATCATGCTTTCACAAAACTGATCAGTCACTGAATTTATTCTGATGAACACTAAAACTCCATGTTTGATAACCCTTTGCAGGCCACACACACACACACACACACACACACACACACATAAACAGTTAAAGAATTAAATAGCAATTTTAATGCAATTAATGGCAAAATCACTTTGCTAACAGGACTTAATGAGACATTAACTTACTATCAATTCTTTGAATAATAAGATCCTTATATTCAAGTTGTTGTCAGATGGAAGACATATGCCAAGTACTTTTGACAATTTCAAATTGTCATCTTCAGGATGCAATTTTCGTGTACATTGGCAAGCACTAAGACAAAATATGTGTAGACCAAAAGATGTTTTTTTTTAAATTATGCTATTTATTGACAGTTGAATATATGTTTTGGAGTGTGCATCTTAGTGTTTGCATATGTATGGGAAAATATCCCAAATTTGCCAAAAATTGCACCCTGAAGATGACAATTACAGATTACAGGAAGTGAGGTGGGGAGATATAAAGCTTATGTGATGTTGGAGCGCTTTGCTTATCACTTGTTATGTCAAACAAAATCTCATTATCACTTCAAAAAATGCTTGGTGTAGTCAAGATTTCATAAACGCCGGTACTAGTAGTAACACCTTCCAGTAATATTTGCACTAGTAATACTTGTTAAAGTAGTATCGCCAAATAGTATAATGATTCGAAGAGAATAAAAATCTGTAGAGTAGAGAGAGTGAACGTGTAGCAGAATTTTACATCCGGTGTCAAAGATGATCTATATTTAAGCTAATTTAGCTGTATATTCTGAGGTTTTCTAAAGTTTTTGAAAATATAGAGGTATTCTGTTTTTTTTGTTTTGGTTTTTTTTTAATTAATTTATTTTTTGTTTAAATAATTTTTTTTTTTTTTTTTTTGTAATTAATGCTTAAATGGTAAACAAACGTGTACTTGCCACCCCTCCATATCCATGGGAGTGGTGGCAACTACCAAACTCAGTCTGGTTTAACATTTTTCAAAAGATATTTATTTTGTCTACATGTGACCATTTCACCCCTAAACAAGGCAATAAAGCCACTAAGATGCAAGGGATTACTAAGTGTTAGATAATATGAGCAAAAAATACTATTAAAAAGAAAAGACAATAAAAGGACGAATTAAGAAGGTAGAAGATAACAATGGACATTGCATTTAATTTTTTGAAGATCAAAGTTGACATGGCAGCAAGAAGCTGGAAGAGTTTCACAAAGACGACAGAAGAAACTGTTAGCATAGAACTTACATTTACATCTATCCATTTCAACTGTAAAATGATGAGACCTTGCTGCAAATCTAGTACTGTGCTTAAATTCATAAAGTCTAGATACCATAGAGGATAGTTTATCAGAACAATTACCATGATAGTATTTATGTAAAAGGCACAGTGAAACTACATTACAAGAGTTGGAAAGTGACTAAAAGCAAGATGCCAGGTCAGGACCAATAACATTGCAGATTCTTTGGATTTTATCAAGAATCTCTAAATATATAGCAGGAGCACCAGACCACATGTGGCAGCAATATTCAAAGCAAGGAAAAATTATTGACTTATAAATATTTAAGATAAATTCTGGCAAGAAAAATTGTTTTAGTTTGACATCACTGCAGAATTAGCAGTTGAATCAATATATTCTTTTCTATTTCATATCCATAGAAAAAGTTAGTCCAAAAAGGCATAATGAGTCACTCTCCTGGAGGTTAGCATCTGTTCTTACCATTATTGGGTTTTCACATGTGAGTCTTTAAATATACATTTTTTCAATTATTATTGTGGGTTTTTTGGGGTTTTTTTCAGAGAGGCAGTTTTTTCACCTCCTTGCTTCATAAACATTGTCATAAAGATACTATCACTTGCCAGCTCCTGGACAAAGGGAGATAACTATAATAAAGTTAAAGACAAAAAGTATACAAATATTTGTCTGCATATATGAATTAAATAATACTTCTTTTTTTTTTTTCCTTCTTCCAGGTTTGTCAAGCATTTAATAGAGGAGCCCAAGCTGTGCTTAATCAAGGGTTTGCAAGAGTCGATAAATATCATGCATTGGTGCAAAGGCAGATTAAAGGACAGTTACCTCGTCGTGAATCAGAAAGACGTAATCATCATTTAGCACGACATGTTGATATATTATCAGCAATTGAGACTCGTTTATCTTTACTTGGGATGACTTATCTCCGTTACATTGACATGGGTCTTTGTTGTTTTATTCCTGGAAAGGTATGTTAGATTTATTACCTACAAGATCCAAGACACTTTCAAATTAGAAGAGAAGAAAACTTATGAAATATTACTAAAAATAAAGAGTTTTTTTGAATGTTCCAAATGCACATTTTTTAAATAGTTTGATCATTCAGATAAGAATTGTTATTATTTATAGTAATTTCTCTTAATATTTTTGTAATGATATGAATTGCATTGAATTATCAGATGTCAACAATTTAAGCAAAAATTAAACATATTCAAAAAAAAATACCATTTTGTTCAGGATAAAGTTACTGTAGCAGACATGTAACAAGTGTAAAAAAAATGTAAAAGATTGAAGAGGAAAAAAAATGATTTAAAAATGACATGTAACAACTTAAAAAAATTATTATGTAACAATTTTTAGAAAAAATGACTCAAAAAAAATTAAAAGGATTTCAGGAGAAAATGGAAAAAATGATTTAAAAATGTGTAAAAAAAAATTGTGATCTTTCAAAAAAAAAAAAAAAAAAGAAAAGAAAAATTTAAAAATAATAAAAGTGTAATTCTGTTAATCCATTTATGCATAACACCCTACTAGCTAGACATGGTCTTAATTATCTCTGGCTACCAAGCATTATATATTAGACTGTAATATGTTTGTGGCATAATGTTATAGCACAAAAATAGTATAGTCTAACATATTAAGTCTGGTGCCTGGAATTTATTAAGGCCATGTTCAACTAGTTGTGCATCATGAATAAATGAGTTAACACATTTTTAAAAATAACTTTTATCTTTGTAAAAATTGGACTTTTTTCCCCACTTAAAGTTCTGTTAATCCTGATGCAGCAGATGTTCTCACAAGTTACGCTCCTTAGTTTCACCAGTTCAGACCTTCACAGCTAAGATCCACCATACCATGTACACTGGGACAAATCACTCCCATTTCCTTTGTATTGCATTCATAAGAAGGAAGTACCATTCGGACAGCTTCTTTCTAAGAACCACTTTGTGGAACAGACTCCCAAGAAGATTTTTCATGGATCACTACAATCTTAGCCTCTTTAAGTCTAGTGTTAACCATTATCTTTCCTACATATCCTCATAAACTGCACTTCTTATGCTAATACAATAACATCATTTGGTAACCCTCTTCCTTGAGTGGTTCTTGGGTTTTGTATTAGGCAAACAATTAATTAAAAAGAAGCAGCAGCATAACAACAGTAACAAATTTACCATATATGAATATATACAAATGGTAGCAGCCAAAGTAACAATCATAAAATCACAAGAAAAATTAGTGAGAGCCATCATTAAAAAAAAATCTTTGTCTATTAGAATTGATTTCCTTGATCATGGAAGAGTTTTATGACACAAAAGCCAATAAGTTGATTGAATTTTCTATTACAGTAAAACCCAGGAATTACCAACCACAAGGAGTTCACCCACTGCAGTTTCATGTATTTATGATTGGCCTAATCAGCAAAACTTTTACGGATGTAAATCTATTTTTCCCATCTCTAACAAAATCAATTTGACAAATCCTTTCATCCCCTCATTACCTAATGATCAGCACCAGATTGGGAGAAGCCAGCATCTGCAAAATGTCTAAGTTTCAGAAGTGCTGTAAATATTTACATTCAATGTGCTGATTTTGAGATTGAGTTGGGAGACATCTATCTACCAAAGTTTGAAATGGGCAGATAAGCTGTTTGGATGGATTGCAATTCTGTGCCACTCCCCAATACACTTGTAAACTTATCTTATAGGTAAGCAAATTGATAAAAGCCTGAATAGAAATGTGAGTAGAAAGATTGTCTTGCACCAATCTCCCAAGTAAGAATGACAAGCTTATTTTGAAAAAATGACATTCAAATTTCTGGTTTTTATCAGGATTCAAAATATCAACCACTGTAGCACTAATTGCAAATACACCACCTGGGGGACCGTGAATTTTAGATAAGAGTAATAAAAAAAAAAAAATGAATGGAAGCAGGTTTACATCTTTTTGTTAAAATATGATTTTTACTCCATATAATTGTTTTAACAAATATATCTTGACTTTCATCTTATACTAAACAAATAACATTCAAATACTTTAAATTCATGTGAAAAATGTCATAGATTATATTTTTTGTTCTATCTTTTTTTTTATTTTCAGGTTCTCGATGAGTTATATGATATTCTTCGCACACTTCAGTGTACATGTCAACTTCCACGTGCTCATGAATTTTTGCAAGAGCTCAGAGATATATCGTCTATGGCGATGGAGCATTTCGAAGAAAAAATTGTGCCTTCATTAAAACAAAAAATGCCAAGTGTTCGATTAACACTTGGTAATTTTAATGTCAACACAGAACCTGAAGCTGGTAATAAACATTTGTTTTATTTTTCTCTATTGTTGGAAATGGCCTTTTGCAAATTTAAACAGTCTTTCTATATGGATCCTTTCAGGATATGGGTGATTATAGCTCTCCAAACTTCCTATCTTTTGTTCCTTTTAGCAATAATTGACTCTTTATGGCTCACCCCACTTTGTCTTTGTGGTAGTATCCTTGATTTCTTGTTTTCCCTGACCATTGGTCATCCTGGATATTCATTTCACCAACCATTGACCCAAAGTTGTGAAGTAGGTTTCATGCTTTTTTCCTCTACTTCTCTTGTCTTTGATATACCCTGTGAATGTTAAATTATTCAAGCCTTCTTTCTTCATTGTATGTTCTAAATATTTCAGCTCTCTCTCTCTTATTATTGCTAACAATTTCTTTGTAGATCCTACTCTTAAAATTTTCAAATAGGCTATTTTGCCAGTCCTGATAAAATAGACAAACATGCTTTTAAGCTTATTTTACTGGTCTTGATAAAATAGACCCCCCAGGGTATTTTGCCAATAAATATTTTTACTATTATGAAGGCAAGTAATGTTAAAAATAACAACACACAAATTTAACACAGAAGTTTATTTATTTTCACCATCATGTTTATGGAGCCTTTTGAATGGTTGTGTGAGCTGTTTAGACAGAACTTGAACAACATTGATTCTCTGACCTGGGACTGTTGTCTTCAGTCGGTGCACCTGAAGTGTATTGGCAAGAGAATTAAGCCCAAGCGAAAATTTTGGATTTGCAGAGACTGTTATGCCTGAAATGTTTAAAATATTAGAGACTTGTATATTTCTTTTAATAATTAATGATGAATAAATGATTTTAACTTGTTTTTTAACAATTGATGGCAGAAAAGATTTTAAATTGTCTTAACAATTGATGGTGAAAATAAATAAACTTCTGTGTTAAATCTGTGCATTGTTATTTTTAACATGCCTTCATAATAATAAAAATATTTATCGGCAAAATAGCCTGGGGGTCTATTTTATATGCTTTTACTGATGACCATGCATTCAATCTTCTTATAGTTAATAGGTCTTTCTTCCTGCTTTCATTGACTATTTTGTTTAATCATTTTTTTTTCCGTTCTCCTTCTGAATCTACCATCAAACAGTGTTATCTCTATAGTTTAAATTAAGTTTAATAAATCTTAATTAAGTTGTCTAATCCTCTTAGAATTATCTTACTGTACAGATGTTGTGGAGATGAACACACCTCTCCAAAATAGGACTTGAACTTGTCCAAATACATATATACTGATGCTGATAATTGTCAGTAGAGAGTAGAATTAGGAGAAAGAGAGAGATCTAGTAGAGATCTAGCTTATCTGCTTACTACATATTTCAGCAAGACTATGTCAAATTCAAGTGACATTATATTTCTTTATTGTGTTATCTTCATTCAATGGAATAAAGACATAACAGTTGTGACAAGGATTCAAATTCACGCAAAATTTTTTTTTTTTACTTTTGGTCAGCTTAAATTGCTGTTGAAGAAAATTTTTCAGATTGATATTGAAATGTAAAGAATTGCTTTGGTGGAATCCAAAAGTGAAATAGCCAGTCATGATAGATGATATCAAAATTTGTTCTAAAAAGGATATGTTTATTCAAAAAACTATGAATGATGTTAAGTCAAAATGGAGTAAAACTAAAATTAAACCTGGTAACAAAAATACAGCATTTTCTATTTGCAATGGAGTGTTTTGTATATGGAAAGAGTAGTAATTCTGTTTTTACTACAAAAAAAGATTTTAAAATAATTCCCCTTAAGACATCCGGGAATAGCGAGGATGAAGTCCCTGATGAGAAGCTACATGTATTGGCCAAGGTTGGGCAAAAATATCCAAGATACAGTTAGAAAATGTAATGGTTGTAATTCAGCAGCAAAATCACCACTTATAAATTATCAAGCATGGCTGAGCTCTGATAAGACGTGGACAGGACTACATATTAACTTTGCTGGACCACTAAATGATTCATACTATTTAATTGTGGTCAACAGCTTCACAAAATGGCCCAAGATATTAAAATGTAAATGACTTACTACTACAATAATGATTAAATTCTTGCGTGAATTTTTTTGCATGGTTTTGAGTGCCTTACAGTGTGGTATCCAATAATGAAACTCAATTTACTTCTTGTGAGTTTAAAAATTTATTCAAAATCTATGCAGTGGAACATTTGACTATGCTGATTTATCATCTGAGATCAAATGGTCAAGTGGAATGGTTTGTTAACACCTTCAAAAGGATATTAAGAAAAGCTAAAGGCGTGGAAGCTGAAGAAATAGCACTACAAGAATTTTTGAGCATGTATCACATCAAATGCAAACATCACTGCAAAATGTCATCTGCAGAGCTCATGTTTGCTAGTAAAATGAGATCCATTTTTGACAAATTACTGCCAGGGAATAAGAAAGTTCAACAATTTCAAACTACCAGATGATTTAAGATTGGCAATAAAGTTTTGTTTAAAATCTATAAGGCTGGAAAGGAAAATTGGCAAAAAGGAAAAATTATTCAACACTTTGGTAGTATAATGTGCACTGATTTGCTAAAAATTAGCGAATATTGATGAAAAAATTTCCCAAACTTAATAAAAACAAAGTTTTAACATCAAAATCTTTGTTATTATTAAGAGAAAAGATCAAAGAATTTTTTGATTTGAAAATTATATTTTCGATCCTTTTTAGTACGTTCAAAATTTTGGTTAAAAATTTTTTTTATTTTCATCAGTGCAGTGGCCAAAGATTATTAGCACAATTGATCGAACACTAGTATTTTAAAAAGAATTTTGAAATTTTTTTGTGTGTACGAATGTGCTGATTTTTGTACATACAGACATCCATACACAACATTATTAGAAAATAAGAGCATTAACTATAGTAAATTTAAAGCCAATCCAAAGTACCTAAAATTCAATAGAATATTAAATTATAGAGAATATTTTTCTTAAATTTTAAGATTTTAAATTATATAAAAAAAGGCACTCATGTTATATTGTTCAAGTAAATTTTACAGATTTACATCTGTCATCCAAGCCGTCAACCTGTCAAAACCTAACATAAACAGCTACTGCCATGTTAAAAAAATGCTTTTCTACAATATTTCAATCTTAAAGTTTCAAATCAGATTAATTGAACTTTAAATCAGCTAATATTCTTAAAATAAAGTTTCAGAAAAGCATATTTTATTTTTGAAAGATTTCATATATAAATGAAAAAAAAAAATTGTTTTATGGTATGCTATATTTATGAGATAAAATGCTCAATATCAGAGATAGATCATATGTAAATATAAAAGTGAACATTGAAGTCAACACTCAGAAGCGACAAACTGTTTCATGCTAAATGCACTCATCAGGCTCATGTGGCCTGATGAGTGTTGACTTCAATGTTCACTTATACACACACACACACACATATATAAATCACTTGCTGTAGTGTTTTTTGTAATGTTACCTTTAGTTTGTATATAACTGAGAAGTAATCATTTTCCTATCGTCAATTATTGGGTATGTTTGAGTGCAAAACTGTGTTTCTAAATCATTTGTTGATGGTCAAGTTTGGATTTTTAGTGTCTTCTGCTGGGTTTTTCGAAGTTCCCAAGTATGTTGGGGTTTCTTAGAATGTTGATTATTATTTATCCTTTTGCTGTGCATGATTAAATTCATTTTTATCTTTTTACTTGACCCTAATCGATATTTACCAACCATTTTACTATCTTGTTCCCTTCTTTTGTGGGATGTGGAGGTTGTATAATGGATGAGAAATCTGAAAGCCAAGTCCCAATTCCAGTCAAGTTCATTACATTCACTTATGCACAAATACCCTTGGGAAAGTTATGAATCCATCTCTTCTCCCCCCAGTTATAGGTTAAATAGTACGACTTGTAGCAGGATAAATTCATTGTCATGTCCCAAAAATTGTTAATGCAGTATTCACTTAAAAAAAACAAAAGAGAGAATTATTCTTATAATCCAAAATATATTTCAGCTTTAAATAACTCACAAAGGGTTGATAAATTTAAAAAAAAAAAAAATTAAAAAAACAAAATCAGTTCTGCTTTTTCATTTAGATGTCCGAGAGTTGACATTTTGTAGCCTGTCGTAAAAGTTATCTATTACTTTGTTGATGTTTTTCTGATATGGGTGCATATGATTGCCATATTTGACTTTGGCTTCACCAAGACTATCTTCAGTTGCCAGTATCTGAAAATGCTATCTTTATTTATTATCAATTTGACTCCTCTCTAATTCTTCTCTTTTCCTGCATATATGATTTTGTTATTATCACATAAAATCCCTATTTCTCTTTCCATTTTGTTTCACATACTCCTAGAATCTTAATATTCAGTTTTTCCATTTTCACATTTTCTAAATTTCTACATTGGCACAGTGTTCTCTTTGGATCTCTGTTGTGGACTGTGACTGGATGACAGTCAGGTGACCCTTGTCACATGCGTAACCGGGTAAATTATTATTTCTGAAGGATCTGACTCTCTTCCTGCCATTTTACCATATTTGTGAGCTATGACTTGCTAAAATTGTTCTTGATAGGGATACTGAGGAGAATGGTTTCCCATTGTTTTCTCAATCTTGATTTTAAAAACATAAACTTCTTAAGAAATATGACCTTTTTCACAATTAATAACAGCTTTATCTGATAATTTCTCTTTAAGAAATTTATATAAATTAAGTTGTTGAAGCACTAAAACAGATACTTATATTCTGAGTATTAAGAACTTAGTGCACACAATACTTAGATTTTAATTTCTATTTCATATTTATTTGATTTTTATTTTATCTTTTGTGCTTTTTAATCATTTTACTCCAAGCAAGTCGATAATGATAGAAGTAGGAGTCAAGTGAATTCCACAATGAATCTCGGACTGCAGACCAACATACAGAATTTACTACTGTATTTATGTGAATCGGGACATACCCATTATCATCCATAGGTATGCTACAACAGATATAACAGACAAAATGTGGCAGATGATACATATATATGTAACGAAAATCTTGGTAATCCGTATGGATAATCCCAAGGAGGATGAAATCTGGAGAGCTCAATGTTAAATCAGAGCGATTAATTTAAAAGAGAAGATCCTAATAATAAAGCATAAAGATCCCGAAGAGTTACTAAAACAACACAATGAGATGATCTTTAAATGCAGACACAAAAATCATCTCAATATAACTCACTACACATAAAAAAAAATCACTATCAGTTATAATATATATGCAGTTGTATATGGGCATAATTGATATACATTCTTACCTTTAGGCTATGATTTAATGTTGGTATATATATGTGTAGATATTTATATACGATGGTAAATATTGGCGTGTATTTAGATATGAGGATGCTTGTGTGTGGGTACATGTGTTTATGGGCTTGTATATGGATATGTGGAGATATATATATGTGTGTGTGGAGATATATATATATATATATATATATATATATATATATATATATATATATATATATATATATGGAATTATATATGGGTGTATATGAATATATGTATAAGATATATGTGTGTGTATGTTTGTATAGAGATTTAATGTAAAGACAGAAATTTTTTATTACCTTCTAATCTTACTTCATCTTGAAATAATTTCTAATTAGACTCGAAAAATTAGAAATTTTACTCATCTGAAGATAATTTCAATTTAAATTGATCACTTAGATTTAAGTTAAAAAATATTACTCCTTAACCATTATTCACGATATTAAAAATTAAAGATATTATTTTTTTTAAATTTAAACACTTAATTCACTTTCTAACGTTAACTGTAAAATTTAATTTAAAAAAATAATCTTAATATGTATAAAGATGAATGCGTGTGAAAATATGTATGTAAATATTTGTGTATGTATGTGCGTGTATACCGATGTGTATCAATACGTGTATGTGATTATATATGTAATTGTATATGTATATGAATATATGTGTATTTACATAAATATGTATGTGATGTGTGTATGTAAAAAAAGTAAATTCTTTTATTATTACCTTCAAATCTTACTTCATCTTGATTTCAAACTTGAACTTTAATTAAAAAATATTACTCATCTAAAAATAGCTTCAGGTTAAATTGATGAATTAGACTCTAACTAATAAAGATTTTACCTTAACCGTCATTCACAATATTAAAATATTACTATTAGCAATTTTTTTATTTTTATATTAGTTTATTAATATAATATAATCAGTTTATATGAAATCCCTAATTTATTTGTGGAGATGTTAAATATTTAAATTGCTATCAAGCATTAAATATAGTTTATTTGTGGAGTTTTTAAACATTTAAATTACTATCAAATGATAAGATCTGTGTTTATCTAAATTGCCCAAATATCAAGCTATACCACCCCTCTCCTTCCTTCAAAACCCTATGTCCATCTCTTATTTCTTATCTCTTTACTTCCCCGCTTTTTCTTTTTTCATTTTTTCTTTTCTTTTTTCCCCATATCATTTCAGGTGTGTTGACCGATTAAATAGGTCAATGTCTGATCATTACCCCCTCTCCTCCTCAATATTAAGTATTGTAATAAAAATAAGAATAAATTTTAAAACTCTCCCTTCCCTCTCTAAATTTGACCATGTCTCTCACACTCATCACCACCCTCTATGTCACCTTATATAAGCTTAATACTGCCCTTCAAAAGTGTAAATTTTAAATTCAATTTTTCACACTTGAAAGTGAAGTCTGAAGATCCAGAAAAAAATAAAAGCTCTGTTGAAATAAATTATAACTAATGGAACCTTAAAGTGGTCTGTTTTTTCTTTAAATTAAATTATATTTTTTTTTTTGTTTGTGTTTTTTTTTTTTTTTAATACAGATTATATTTAAACATTTGAACAAATTGATTGCTACACTGTTATATAGATTGATGACAATAATTTAAAAGCAATTTGTATGTATATATTTCCAAAATTATCTTTGATTTTATTGCAGGATCTTCAAACGTGATGGTTCCATTGAATAATTCTTCCTCTGGATTAAGATCAACTTCACTTCGAGAGGATATCACCAATATAAATTCCTTGGTTCGATCACAAGGTAATAGCATAAAAGCCTTCAAAAGAGAACTGTTTGAAATGAAGAATAAGTTTACTCTTCAGCGCAAAAGAATAAGACAACTTCTACATAAATTAATGGTACAAAAAACAAGAAACAAAAGTCAAAATAAATGCATATCGGATTTGAATACTCGACTTTTAGAGGAGGAACGTAAAGTCGCTGAACTAAGCAGTAAACTGCTGAGCCAAGGAAAGACAATGACAGAATTAAATGTACGAGTTAATGATCAAGGAAGAAAGATTGCAGAACTCAATCAAAAGATTCACCTGTATGAAAATAAATTAGTCAAGTTGTCGAATTATGAGGATTTTAAATGTAATGAGACTGAAGATCCTGATGACAACACAGCAGATGTCGAAACTTTGCCCAGTCCTTCATTAGAATTACTTTCAGAGAAAAAATGTATTTCAAATACTAAAAGAACTTTTAAGCGAAAAATTAGCTTATCAGGAAATCAAATAGAAGCGTCACCATTAAAAATGAATAAACAATAATTTGAAAAAGAAATTTCCTGAAATATTTTATGAGCTTTATAAGGATTTTTTGCATTTTATTTGTGAGAAACTTACAGATTGTTTATAAATTTGTTTTTATCTGTAAAGAAAAACAAACACTTTTAGTTGACAAAAAAAAAAAACCATCAAGTGCTATTTTTATTGCATTTATTGATTGCATAAAAAGATCTTTGTGGAATTACTAATCTAAAAGTAATTAAGTCATAATACTCAGAAAAGTCTACTTGGTAATATCCTCAAATTAGTTTTTTTTTTTTTTTTTTTTCCCCTCTCTCCAAGATTACAAAATATGACCATATTTTAATATTTAAGAATTACATTTTATAAAAGTATATTTATAATCTTGTATATGAAAAATTGTATGCATGTCAAAATGTTTAAAATGGAAATATTTCTTTAAAGTGAAAAAAAAATATTTTTTATATGTAAATATCTCACAGTATAGTGATTTAATTTAATACATAAAAATGAAATAGTGACCTAAATCTGAAGGATTAATGCTGAAAACCTACATCTAGATTTTTATATATTTTTTTTTTACACTTTTATTATTTTCTAAAGATGTTACCTTTTTCTTTAAGATGTTGAAATTATTTTCTGTTTTGGATAAAGATTTTGTTTTTCTTTTAATCATTTTTCAATCATTTGTGTTTGAATTTCTTTGAAGCTTTTGATCTTGTTTTGAGTGAAACTGACTAACAATGGTGTTTTAATTTATGACAATGGCTTTCAAGTTGGCCTGATTTCTTCACGGCCCATTTACTTTTAGAGTGGTTAATATTTGTTTTTGAAACTTTGTTCTTTTATATATCAAGAATGCTGTCACAAGCATTTTTTTTTTTCTTTTTACAAACATATCTTTTCATTTATTGTTTGTTGTTTATTAGCTTTTACAATGGGAGTGGTTTTCGTAATTTTAATATTTACCGCATCCTTAATGTAAGTGATAAACATTTTTACATTAAAAAAAATCTAATATCATCAAAATACTTTGTATTCAGTGGAGCTAGTAACTAATGACTTTTTTTCTTTTTTTTTTTACTTTTTGCTTGGATACTTTTTTTGAGTACTACAATCAAATATCCACTTTTTATGCTTTTCTTTCAAAAAATATAATTTCAGATATTAACTCTTTTGTTATCAACATAGTCACTTTCTCACCAATGTCATGTGGCTTCCCTCTGTCTTTTCTACAAATATTTTCATGGCAACTCTTTTGATGAGCTTTTTACCCTGGTGCCCTAACTACATGAATTTAAGTGTGCTACTAAATTGGCAACTAGGTCTCACCATTTTACTGTTGAATTAACTAGATGCAACAACCACTTCTACTCTAACAGTTTCTTTTCTCGGATTTCCCACCTGTGGAACTCCCTTCTGATTTCTTTCTCCCCTGATAACTACAATCTTCAAAAATTTAAATGCAATGTCAATCACCATCTTCTGTCTTCTTGAACCCAGTTCCTTTTTTTTTTTCCTTTCCTCAATCCTTCCCATTTTCAGTCTTCTTATTCTCTTTCCCTGTCACTCCCTGTAAACCCCCTATGTCTTAGTGTCATTATTGTCTTGCTTGGGGTGAAACGATTAAAAAAAAAAAAAAAAAAAAAACTTGCTGAATAGATTTGTATCTAGGAGTAATTCGTGAAACATATACCCTTTTAAAATTCAAAATATATACACTTGAGTAGATGCAAGTAAACATTTTTAAGTTTTATTATGTTTACATTTTCAAACATAATAAGAGAAACTGTATTTATCTTTCTGTGTACATGTACAAATGATGTTTTCTTTCTTAGAAGGCATATAGAAATTCAAATTAGTGCAATTACATTTGAACAGACTTAGGCAAACAGAATCATTTGACTAAAATATCTTAGTAGCTTGTAATCAGTGAAAACAAAAATCTTGGGCATAGGTGTGATTATAGCAATGATAATTCAACTTTGGTCATGTGCCAAATTTTTGTCTACATGTGTGTGCATATATATATAAAATACATAAAAGGTTAATAGTCAGAGTTGAGTCAGATCAGGAAACAGTAGTATTGAAGTCTTTTTGTAATTATGGCATTTCTGGATCCCAAAAATGTTTTAAACCAGATATCCAAAGTTTTAAGTCCTTGCTTACATATTAGAAAATTTTTCTTAAGCTCATATGAGGCTGGATAAAAAAAAAAAAAAAAACGTAATGTACATTTTAATTAATCCCCCACGATACATTTACAATACGTCTGCTTTTCTTCTCTTCCCCCTTCTTCTTCTTCTCCTCCTTCCTTCTTCACATCCTCCTCCTCCCTTTCTATTACACCCAACATTGTGCGTCTATTTATTTTTGAAAATAATAATGTAACATTCATTAGATTTAAAAAAAAAAATAAATAAATAAAGTGTTAAGAAGAGGTCATTTGCTAAAAATCGCCTGAGGATGCTGTAAGGTAGCGGATTCAACTGACCTCCTGATTTTTAAAGTGTGTGTGTGTGTGTGTGCATATATACACACACCCAAATACAAGGTTGGTATAGATGGAATAAACTTCCAGTAACCAAAAACACTATTTTTTTAAATAGTGCTCAATACAGAGTATAGCAAATAATATTTATTTAAAAATTATAACATAAGTAACCATCACTTGACAAGACACCAGAAGTATTGAAACAAAATGTCTATTTTTGTAGTGATGTTTTAACATACTTATGTTATAATTTTTAAATAAATATATATATTCCTTATCTGCAAATAAGAATTTACATATTTATTTTCATTGAAAAAGATAAGATACTATACAGTGACTTTTAGTTAGAAAAAACTGAAGAATATTTTATGTCATAATTTTGAATGCATAAAACAAAACATGTCTAAAAAGGTTTAATTTCAAGTAATTCCTTTGACACTTGGCTTTTGTCTTCATCTATACTGTTGAAAATAATACCTATATTGTAAATTTTAATATCTTTCCTTATTATTCTTTATTATAATTCATCAAAGTTAATTTATATTGTCTTATTACTCAGTCATGTCTAAACAGAAATTTTCTTTGGAAGAAATGTGAAAATTTCTGTCCATTTAGTAGAAATGTATGAAGCCAAAATTAAATAAATCATTGTTTTCCCCAATTGCAAGACAAAAATGGATTGAATATGAAGTTCTTGATCCAGATGTCATTGACTTGAAAATTGCATTGTGCATAAAATCAACAGTTTCATAAATATTATTACATAAGTAAATCTCTTTTCATCATTTGCCAGGCCACAAATATTACTTTTAGAATTTATTAAACCTTTGTTTAATGCTTTCTGTGATGTATTCTTAATGTTTTTTTTTTCTTTTTCAGCAAATAATTGGAAATTTATAAAACCTAATCGACATTCATTTTTATGGTCATATTAAAAATTGGAAATTTTTTTTTCAGCAAATAATTGGAAATTCTTAAAGCCAAATCTGCATTCATTTTTATGGTAATATTAAAAATTGGAAATTTTTATTCTTTTTCAATATACATAACAATTTGTTCTTTGTAATGTTTCTTTTTATTCACTTAGCTAATTTTAACACATTTCAAGTTCTAAATTCTTCAACAATATTCATTTCAACTTTTTCTATACTAAAACAATTTTAAAAGTCAATCTGAAGATGAACTGGTATCTACTTTTCTATATAAGATCATGTCAGTTAACAGTATTATAAAACTTTAGTAAAACAGTATGTCATGGTAGATAATTATTTCATTTTATAATTTGATCATTAAAAGGCCAAGATAATGCAAAATATTTTTGATAACTTTTAAATTGCTTTAAAATAGAAATTCTACTTCAAAAAGATAATTAATTTTATCTTAAAATCAATATAAAAACCTTAGGCAATGAAATGAATCCATACACTAGTTAGAATCAGTGCAAATATTCATTTTGTCTCCAGCAAATTAATCTGTTTATGCATTTCTTGTGTTAAAAGGAAATACTTTAGCATATTAAATACTTTCTGTTGTTCCATAGACATTTTGCATATCAGGATCATGCAAGCAATCAAGTCATAAAATTGTGATGTAATGATAGTTGCCCATTATCATAATCCTATCAGTTTTCAACACAACTCTTATTTTGTGTCTCTAGATGATTGAAACATTTCCAGTACCATAAATATATTAAAACTTAAGTCCATTACAAGTACAAAATGTTGGAAAACTAGTTTTAATTTTAATGTTAAGTATATTCACATGTCCCATAATCCATTAAGACCGTTGGGGCATCACATATACTTCAGCCACAGCAGCAGTGGTGTGTCTAGGGCAAGAAAGCCTGATGGGACACATCCTTCTTCAGGCCAGTTTTGAAATCAGTTTTCCCTTTCCAAGACTGCCTGCAACTTCAAAGCAACAGATCGCAGCCAACCTTACTATTTAACCCATAGTCGTAGAGGTAAGCGATAGATTTATACTTTTCTTAAAGGTAGTTATGTGAATGTAATGAACGCAGGTAGAATTCATACTTGGCTCATTGATTTCTTTCACTATCCAAGAATACTAGCCTTTCAAAACATAGTGAGCTTCATGAAAATGTATCTGTGCTAATATTTGTACAGACTAAAAATATTTATTATGAAAGACAACCTTTAGGTAAACTTACAAGCCCCAAAATTATTACAAAGAAATGAAAAAGGTGAAAAGTTATCAGGTTGCCAATATTAAGTTTGCTCTTTACCATAGTGTTCTACACTATAAGTTAATTTTAATAATGTTTTGTTATGTTTAATTTTCAACAGATTTTTTTCCTTGATTTTGTTTTTGCACTGCAAAATTTATCTAAAAATGCCAATATTTGTCATAGAAATTTAATATATTTCTCTATGATATTGTTATCCATAACAACAAATCTATTGATGATAAAATTTAATTTTTTATGAGTAATTTGTTTTTCTTTCTAAAAGGGATTTAAAAAAAAAGCATGTTGAATTTTAGTTTACCATTAACTTAAAATAGAATCAAATGTAATATTAATAAAAATAATGAAAATGTTGTCTACTAAAATTGTTTAACTTTTCAATTTTCTTCCAATATTTCTGAAACTCAAACATTTTGAAATAGGCCCCAGTTCTGACCCTTAATTCCATTATGAGTAGGCCTGTCTTTACACTGCAGTTATATCATAAACCAATAACTAGCAGATTAGAAATTATCAGTTTCAAACTGTTTCTTATAGTTGTTGACTAGCCTTTTCTTTTATTGAAGCCAAATAAATTTAACTTACACATATAAAATGAAAAGTAACTGTTTTCATATTTCTATCTCACAAACTTAAGAAAATTTTCTAACTATATAATATTTATTGTGCTTTAATAATGAAATTGTTTTTCTGTAAAATATTTTATTATATTTGATGAAAAAAAAAGATTTTTATGAATTTGTAGAACTATTTTACATGAAAATTTAATTAGTTTGATCATCAAAATAATTGACTAATCCAGCACTGTAGTTTATGGTTGTGATTCTATTATAGTCATACCGTGAAAATATTTTCATTTGTGGCCTGCAAATGGAGCTTTGCTTCCCTGTTTAATATAATGCTTTAACATCTTTCTTCATAGAGTGAATTGAGTAGCAAAAATCAAATACATTTTGAATAGTATCTGAATCTTTCAATAAGACTTCTAAAACACTTCAAAATCAATA